AATTCCAACACTGCTCCTGATCCATTCACATGATAGGCGAAGAGGACCGCCATGTCTTCAGTGATGTGGAATGGAAAGCTTTCAAAAATAAACTCCTCATTGTCGAAACCATTCCCTGCAGCCTGAAGATACCAACTGCCGTCATTGGCAGGAACACTTGACATAGCTGTAGAGACATATCTCCACGTCGATTCGTTGAATTGATGGTCGAACAGCCAGAAGCACCCCTCGAATTCAAAATCGCAAGCCAGCCCCTTGAAGTCTACAGCTACTGTTGGAACACCAACACCTATAGCGTCAAGCGCAATGTGCCCATAATAAGGAGGCTGATCCACCACAAAACGCAACGCTGATGCCGTTGCTGGCAAAGTAGTCATACCAAAGCGCCACACAGCACCTTGACTTCCCTGTTTTGACCACAAAGTCGACCAAGTCCAGTTGTCGTGTCGGCACTCGAGATTCAGCCTGCTGGCTCCATAGGGGAAAAACATGTAATAGAAGAAATGCAGGTCTAATCTGTCTCGTGCGTTGCCCAGCCCTCCCAGCCACGGACTGACCAAAGCAAGGTCCTGCAATGTTTGGATCGCATGTTGTGGCCTACACACTTTTGCACTTCATGCTCTTTCAAACAGAGCGCTAGAGCGCTAGACTGAACGACATGCGATGGATTAATCCGTCTTCGCAGAATGCCCGCCTGGCGAGATGAGTCGACGTGGATGTACCAGTCACCATGGAATGCATCTTGGCGTCCAAGGTCATACCAAGACATGGGGTCAGAGTATCGTAGCCAGGAACTAGCCCACCCGCAGAAATCCTCTTCAAAGCTGCAGCTCAAGTTTTCAATGCTGGAAACTGCATTCGAACAAGACAGGGAATCAATCAAGATCACATCTTGCGATCCGCTCGTTCTTGCTAAAAAGCGCAAAGCAGTGGACGTAGACGGAATGCTGACAGCCGCTTGTTGCCAAAAGATGTCCTGATGGCTGAGCACCGAAAAAAGACTGGTCCAGTTGGCCGTTGCTGTCATGTATTGTAATTCCAACACTGCTCCTGATCCATTCACATGATAGGCGAAGAGGACCGCCATGTCTTCAGTGATGTGGAATGGAA